TCCAATTCCAATTCCTACACTCCCACACTGTAGATTGTTGGCAAGGAAGATGAGTGTATGCAAGAAATACCACCCAAGAACACTCTTCTGCAAGGCTCTTAACTGAAGTCCTTTAAAAATTTATTAGTTGTGTAAGTTTTGAGATCTTTTGTAAAACATCTTTCTTGCCATACCCTTGACTAATAGCCACAACATCAATGGATGGAGAATGACTGGATCTGGATAATGACAATAAAAGAATGAGTAAGGCTGGATCCTAATTTGGGATGGCCAAAGAGAGGAGGAAGGATTGCAGAATGCTAGAAGAAAGAGTGGTGAGAAGATATGAACCTGGAAAGAGAACTGTTATGGTCCGCCGGCAGCCAGCAGAGCTGGCAGCAGAGTCGGACAGTGAAGAGGTTAGGGAGGAACTTGGGCCAGTCCTGGGGGCTGGGGAATGCTCGGACGAGGGCTCTGCGTCAGAGGCAGAGGGGGAGCTAGACAGCAGTGAGGCAGAGGAACAGCTAGAGCCTGTTCCCAGTGTGCGCATGCACAGAGCTGCCAGAAGACAAGAACAACTAAGAAAGCAGGGTCGACCTGGGAGTAAAGCCACATCTTGGAGGTGATTGGCTCCTCCCACAGGAAACAAAAGAGGAGTGAACGGGGAGGGGGCTTTTGCAGGAAACAATTTGTTCAGTCGGTCGGTTCAAGATTGGAAAGTTATGTTTGTGACTATAACAGACTCTGTGCCAAGTTTTGTCTTGCCCTGCATTTGGAAACTAGTTATCTTTTTTTTTTTAAATTTGATTTATATGCCGCCTTTCTCCGGAGACTCAGGGCGGCTTACAATGCGTTAAGCAATAGCCTTCATACTTTTTGTATATTTATACAAAGTCAGCTTATTGCCCCCACAAACTGGGTCCTCAATTTACCTCCCTTAGAAAGGATGGAAGGCTGAGTCAACCTTGAGCCTGGTGAGATTCGAACTTACAGTAATTGCAGACAGCTGGTGTTAATCACAATGCTTTCAGTCTGCTGAGCCACCAGGCCCAGCTTTCTGGCAGCTTTCCAACCGAGATAAGGTTTGTGTTGATACATATTCCTCTGAAAGACTGTTTGCCAAGCCTTGCTGACTGTGAATGAAAGGAATTCACAGTTGTGTAAATAAAAGGGGTTTTGTCGGGACCAAGACTCTGCTTCATGCTTTTTAAGGGAACCTAGGTCAGAACAAGAAGGAAAAAGGATGAGAATATGATGGCAAGTCTGGACTGCTCCAGATTCTTTAAAGACCAGCAGAATATTCAGATATTTTAGCGCTTTTTTTTTTTAGCTTCTTCATGGAACAGAATCTGTAAAGTCTAAATACCAAATTTATCATGGAAGATCTAGACACATAACTTTTTTTTTTAATTTTATTTTTTTAAAATTTGATTTATATGCCGCCCTTCTCCGGAGACTCAGGGCTGCTTACAATGCATTAAGCAACTTTAACATCAGAATTTTCGTAAACACAGTGGAAAACAAAGTAGCATATTTTAGACCAGGGGTGTCAAACTCAAGGTCCAGGGGCCAGATCCGGCCCACGGGGTGCTTAGATCTGGCTCGCGGGGTTGCCCTGGAAACAGCAAAAGACCGGCCCACAGGGCCTCTGCCAGCAAAAACTGAGGTTGGGAGGGCCACGGACAGCCCTCCCGAGCTCCGTTTTTGCTGACAGAGGGTTGCAGGAGGCCGTCGCAGCTGAAAACGGAGCTCAGGAGCCCATTTTCACTGACAAGAGAGCTCACATCCACTCTGGCCACACCCACCCTGGCCCTCCAAGGTCAAACACAACCCTGATGTGGCCGTCAATGAAATCGAGTTTGACACCCCTGTTTTAGACTAATATTTTAATCTATTTCCTAAACAAAGCAGCTTTCATCAAATTATTTGTTAAGCTTGGGACTATAGCTCCCAGATTTCCCAGCACATGTGGGGCAAGAATTTTAGGAAATATAGTTCCATCATGGTTGGAGAGCTACCATGATAGACATGGCAATAGTTATTTGCATCGACAGAAGGAAAATCTCCCAGCCCTAACATTATAGGAACAAAAGGCATTCCATTTAAAGAGAATTTCTCAGTACTGTGGATTATGTTTTTGTTATTGTTTTTAGATAAGTGGTTCTGGATACATTTTTGGTCATTTTTAGTCATTACATTTCAGGAACTTATAAATCACCTAAGAAATAATTTCCTATTTCCATAATCAGCATGCATTTCATATATATATATATTAATTTAATATAGTTAATGACTACTCTATCTTAATTGTAAATGCTTGAGGATAATGGAAGGAAGTCTATTATAGTCACAAACTGATGTTTAATGATTCCACCCACCACATCCATTTAAGTTACATTGAAATAAATGTTTCCTTCTCTGGTGCTACAGCTTTCCATATACTGTATATATTCATTAACTACATTTTTGCCATGCAATACAAACATATTTCAGACTTGGGGTTTAGGTGCTTCAGCTGCATTCAGTAGACTGGAGTTACCTTTAATTGCGAGTCCTTGAAGCTTTTGTTGTGTCGGCCTATTGATTAACATTTTGTCTCATTTTTGATGGGCATAGTAGATCCCCAAGAGTAAGTATCCCCTGACTTAAATGAGATTGAATGAATTGAAAAAGGACTGTGATCAAATTGAATAATTTAGAATTTTTAATGACTATGCATAATTCTAGGGTGGGGGCGGTGTGGTGACTCAGCGGTTAAAATGCCGGGCTTATCGGCTGGAAACCCGTCAGCCCAGGTTTGAGACCTGAGCTCCACTTGATGGGGTGAGCTCCCATCCTCGCCCCAGCTCCTGCCAACCTAGCAGTTTGAAAGCATGCAAATGCGAGGAGATAAATAGGTACCACTTTAGTGGGAAGGTAACAGCGTTCCTGGTCACATGACCACGGAAATGTCTTTGGACAGCGCTGACTCAATGACCTTGAAACAGAGATGAGCATCGCCCCCAAGAGTTAATAACAACTAGCGAAATAAAATCTGGAGAAGCTCCTTTACCTTTTATATACATAATTCTACGTCTCACCCAGTATTTAATGTTTTGGGGTTTCAATTGCATCAAAACTCACTTTCCCCCCTATTCCTGTTTCACTAAATTATATTCACAGAAGGTGTAGGACTGTACATCCTAAATCTTTCCATGCAAATGCTATGAATGCCAATCCATTTCCCAGCTTCCATGTTGAAGGGAAAAAAAGTGATTTCTTTATTTCATGCACTCTTTTTTTGTGTACAGATAGTCCTCAACTTATAACAGTTGATTTAGTGGCCATTCAAAGTTACAACGGCACTGAAAAAAGTGACCTGTGACCGTTTTTCACACTTACAACCGTTGCAGCATCCCCGTGGTCACGTGATCAAAAATTCAGATGCTTGGCAACTGACTCATATTTATGACAGTTGCTCCGCCCACCTACCCCAACGTCATCAAGGGGCTTCTGTGCATGCACATGCGCGCTCCCGTTGTGAACCGGTAGTAAAGGTAAGTAGAACCCACCCCTGCTTCAGATGCTCACTAAACAAACTGTTGTAAGTTAAGGACTACCTGTAATGCCTTGACTCCTTTTCTTATTAGGATTAGTTCTAGAATTTTTAAAGTTGTTCAACTTTTAAAGCAATGGAACTACAACTTCCAGCTCAGCAAGATGAAGAGGCCCAGGAAGATTGAATGAAACATTTTTGCCTTGGGCGCTTTGCTTATTCCTCTGCTATTTAAGATTTAGCCTGGTCCCACTTTCCTTTGAGAGATTAATTTCGTTTTAGCTATTGGAGGGAGAGGCGTGACCACCTCTAAAAACCAAATTGGCTTTTCTTTTTCAGATCTTCAAACATCTCCAGCCTGGGATGTCAAAACTCATTCAGAGATGTCTATTTTGCTTCGTATTTCTTCCTTCTTACAAATTTGTATTAGTTTATCAAAATACAAAAATACAAAGCAAAATGAGAATCATAGGAAAATAGGGAAGGAAAAGGGGAAGAGGAAAAAGTATAGCGTCAAATGGGAAAGGAAAAGGAAAGAATAACAGAATAGCAGAGTTGGAAGGGACCTTGGAGGTCTTCTAGTCCAAACCCCTGATCAAGCAAGATACCCTATGCTATCCCAGCATCAGCTTCTGGGTGCAGTAGAATAAGCCAAAAATGTACAACCTCATTTTTTTTTTACTTTTACATAATAATATATACTATCCGTTTCTATAAGAACAAACCTGTCTAATTAGTAAAAATCAAAATCAAAGTTTCATTTTTCCCCCCACCTCAAGCACCGAGTCCAAAAGTGATTTCCAAACAGAAATAAAGTGAGAATTGAACATAAAATTAAACATTTAATTTTAAATAGAATTATTGTAATTCTTTTCTTTAATCAAGGCAGCCCATTGAACCAGGGGTGGGCTTCAAAATTTTTTTAGCAAGGGGTTCTCTGCCCTGTTGCTGGGTGGACGTGGCCACGGTGGGCATGGCCTAGTCAGCCTCCTGCACCATTGCGGTGTGTGTGTGTGTTTGCTTTCCCTGGGTTCCGGAGGCTTTCTTTGAGCCTCCGGGAGAGCGAAAACAGCCTCCCCTGGCCCTGGAGGCCCTTCCTGAACTTCTGGTAGGCCCGTTTTTCACCCTCCCCGAGCCTCCGCACACGCCCTGCACTTACTTGCATCCAAAACGGGCCGCCTGAGGACTCCTATGAGGGAGGGGCAGGGTGGGCGGGGCCAGCCAGGAGTGGGATTTGGGGGTTCTCTGAACTGCACAGAATCTTAGCTAGAGGTTCTCCCGAACCCCTGCGAACCCCCAGCAACCCACCCCTGCATTGAATCATCTCTGCTAACTCCACCAACTTTTGCAGCTGTCCGTCCACTATCGCAATATCCTTCCATTTTTGTACATAACAGTGTTCTTGCTGCTGTCACAAGACACCATGTTCTTTAAGCAATAATGAACTTTCCCTTTTGGATTCTCTCTCTCTTCTCTCTTTTTCCAGGTGCTATAGCGATATCCATCCCCCGTCTGGACATCGTGATCTCCTTGGTTGGTGCCGTAAGCAGCAGCACTTTGGCTTTGATCCTGCCTCCGTTGATTGAAATCCTCACCTTTTACAAGGAGAAGCTAAACAGATGGGTGATCTTCAAAGACGTTTTCATAGCCTCCCTTGGTGTGGTCGGTTTCATAGCTGGCACGTACGTGAGTGTGAAAGAGATTATCTGCCCCACAACTTTGCTTTCTGAGAATGCCACAAGTGGTTCAGCAACTTGCTTCAACACTTCCCACTTGGCCAAAGGTGCCAATTAATGCCAGAAGATTGTGGGCCTCTTGAATTTCATAATAGATGCGTGTTTGCAAACCAAAGAGACTCCAGATGGATAGGTTTTGAAAGAGAAAATGATTGGAGGACAGATTTCCCCCCCTCCCCCCCAATCGAAATCTGCTCCAGTGGAGGATACAACTTATTCAAGTTTTTTATTCCCTTCCGTTCAAGCATCATGGACTACTACGTATTTCTTTGCAAACGGGACCAGAAATCAAAGAACACTTCTTGGTTGTTTGGACATCTCACATTGAGAGAATAATCCCTGCCAACTTCTTTATTTAAAGTTAAGTCAGTCTTTTGAGAGCCTCTTCGCATAACTTCAGAGATTAACAAGATTTATGCAAAAATGTGGATATCGTCTCTCTCTCTCTCTCTCTCTATGTATTGTGAAAATCCTCTCTTATATTTTGAATTTTATGTATCTATTTGAAACACAAGTAGAAATGCTTTCTGGTGGATTCTGCTGCCCAAGTGGCCAAGGACTTAAGCCCGTTCCTTCACTGCCGTTTTTCCACTGTGAGATTAGACCTCACGTCCTTGAATTAACAATCTCCATGGTTTATCTTGGAAGAGCAAGATAAACTCATCACATTAGTGTCTATGGAGTTTCTCAGTCATCCAAGTCATGGTTGTGCCAAAGATGCTTTTTTTTCAGAGGCAACTGGACTTTCTTGTTTTTCTTTGAAGACATTTTACTTCAAATGCTTCTTCAGCTCTGACTGGATGGTAGAGAATAGAAGGATTTATACTCCTTGCAGACAGCTGGTTATTTGCATTCTTATAGAGAGTTGTTGAGGTCACTTGGAGGTTTATCTATGTCCTCAGGGTCATCTGAGTAATGCAAATTGTGCGGAGCTTTCTTGGAACTATTAAAAGCTGGGAGCCGGCCTGGCCTGAATAGGTTTTATGGGTTAGTTTTTAATTGTATAGCTTGGGGTTTTAAATTGGGAGGCCGATTAATTTAATTTATTTTTAGTTATCTTAACTTTTACATTGTATGTTATTTTAATTTTTGGCTGTTCACCGCCCTGAGTCCCTTCAGGGAGAAGGGCGGGATATAAATTCAATAAATAAATTAAAATAAATAAATTAAAGAACAGTGTTGTAGACTGAAGATAGGCAGTTCTTTCTGTCCAACAACACAGTCCTTTCAACAGTTCCAAGAAGGCTCCACACCCATTTGCACTACTCGGGTGACCCTGAGGACATAGATAAACCTGCAAGTGGCCTCAACGACTCTCAAAAAAAAATGCAAATGATCAGCTGTCTACAAGCAGTATAAATCCCTCCATTCCCCACCATCAAGTGAGAGCTGAAGAAACTTCTTGGATGCAAAGCGAAACGTCTTCAAAGAAAAACCATAAAGTCCAGTTGCCTCTTGAAAAAGCACCTTTGGTTCATCATATTAGTAATTTCTCTTAAAGTCTGCAAAGAAATATGTCTTCAGACTTAGGTCTTGGTCATGCAAATTCTTTACATGATGTAAAGCAGTGGTGTCAAACTTGCAGCCTCATGTGGTCGTTATGTGATGTATCGCGACTTTCCCCCCCTTCGCTAAACCAGGGGTGGGCGTGGCCAGTGCGTGATGCATTTGGCCCACGGGCCGCAAGTTTGACACCCCTGTTGTAAAGGAACAAGGATGATGAAATTTTGGAGACTCAGTACCTTGCTTGGGTCTTGATAACAGAGTCAAGCCACAATAGTGGATTATCACAGATATTTCCCCCCCAACACACATAAGAGTAATATTACAGTTTCACAGAAAGCTGTATTTTTCTATTTATTTCTAACTAATATAGAACACTATATTTGTATGTTAGCACTGTATGGTTGCAAATGAGATATCTCGGCAGAATTTCACTTTCTGTGGAAATCATATGTATTTATCCTTTATGCTTTAATCTGTTTTTTTTTTTCAAAGGAAAAAAGTTTTGATCATATGGAGATGTAGTAAACCTGAGACTTAATCTCAGAGTAAACCAGTTGAAAACAATTAGGCTTAAAAATAGCCACGATTTGAATTTAGAAATTTCAGGGAATATATTCTAAACATGGCAAAATCTGGTCTTAACCCAACAGTTTGACTCCATTAAAATCCATTGGACCTCACATGTTAAGGGGTTCATATCTTGGGGTAACCTATTCTTCCTAAACCTTCCTCACTCTCAGAGGTGGTATTCACTTACCTTCGCTACTGGTTCACAAATGTGAACACGCATGCGCAGAGTGTCAAAAATGGGCAGAGCCTCCCGCAGCTGCCGCTACCAATTCGCCCAAACCGAATAGAACTGGCTAAATACCATCACTGCTAACTCTCTCTCAGTTTGCTTAGGAGCTGAATAAGAAGACAGAAAATATGTCTTCTGTTTTGCTTGCTTTTGGCCATAATAGTATACCCTGAAATTGTTACAGGCTGTTATTATCTGATTCTCTTTGTTGCCATGAAATTTCATAATCCAAAGCATTCAGCAGGGCAGATCCATCCAATTTTATACTGTGATGGATTCCAGAAAATAGGAAATTTTCCTCGGCATTTTGCATTTATTTACATTTTGGAGTCTGTATTACGGTATACAGACTTTTTGTGTTTACGTTCATCTGTATACAGGTAGTCCTCGACTTATAACCGTTCATTTAGTGACCGTTCGAAGTTACAACGGCACTGAAAAAAGTGACCTATGACCATTTTTCACACTTTACGACCATTGCAGAATCCCCATGGTCATGTGATTTACATTTGACAACTGGTTCATATTTATGACGGCTGCAGTGTCCTGGGTCACGGATCACTATTTGTGACTTTCTGACAAGCGAAGTCAAAGATTCACTTAACGTTCATGTTACTAACTTAACAAGGGCAGTGATTTGCTTAACAAACATGGCAAGAAAAGTTGTAAAATGGGGTAAAACTCACTTAACAAATTTCTCACTTGTAGCAACATAAATTTTGGGGCTCAATTGTGGTCGTAAGTCAAAGGCTACCTGTATTTAACATACGAGATATGTCACAAAACTTCACCTTTTCCTACCTGGGATTTATATTCCTTTGCTAAAGTCTTTGATTCCTTCTTGAACCTCTTTCTCTGATGCATCACACCTTTGAAAAACCTGGTCGGAGGCAGGGAGAAGGGGAGGAAGAAAGGGATTGCAAAGCAATATAATTCTTTTTCCTAATAGTTGTGGAAAGGATTGTTGCCACGTCATCCTTGGCTTTGGTTGCTGAATTTATGCTTTCAAAGCCTCTAGTTTTTCTGGATTGCGAAAAACAATGGGAGGTATGTTCACTCGGCAGTTTTAACAGACTCTGCAGTCCTTAAAGTAAAAAGCCTAACTTTCAACATACAGTATGTTTTCTTGATCTGTCATCCATATTCTTCTTCCTGACTGGCCTGTGTTGTGGCCCACCAGTGGCCAGCAGAGCTGGCAGCAGAGTTGGACAGTGAGGAGGCTGGGAAGGAATGTGGGCCAGTCCTGGAGTCTAGGGAAGGCTCGGACGATGGCTCTGAGTCGGAGGCAGAGAGGGGGCCAAAGCCATCTGGTAGTTCTTTGCTGCCTCTGGAGTCTCTGGAGTCTGACATCAGTGAGGCAGAAGAACAGTGTGAGCCTGTTCCCAGTGTGCGCTGCCAGAAAACAAGAACAATTAAGAAAACAGGGTCGACTTGGGAGTAAGGCTTGGAGATGATTGGCCCGTCCCATAAGACATAAAAGAGAAGTGAACGGGACGTGAGCTTTTGCAGGAAGCAATTAGTTCATCTGGTTGGTAAAAGCTCTGGAAAACCTCTGTTTGACTCTGTGCTAAGTTTGGCCTTGCCCTGCATGTGGCAATTAGTTCTCTGGCAGCATTCCAAGGGAGATAATGTGAGTGTTTGTAAACACTTCCCTGATAGACTGTTTAAGAAGCTTTTCGGACTGGGAATGACAATAATTCATAGCCGTTTGAATTAAAGAGGTTTGCCGGGACTAGGTTTGTGCTGTATACTTTCTAAGGAAGCCTAGGTCAGAACAGCCTGTGAACTTGAGGTTACTTTTTACTGGGCATCATAATTTTGGAGTATATAAATTTCTTGCACGAAACAAGTTAAAAATGTTATAACAGTGTTGCTTATAGCTGAGAGCGTGACCAGCGGCCAGTATTTTCAAGCCTGACTGCTCTAGTCGTGTAAAAATGATGGAGCGCCAATTTTCAAGCCAAGACCTGCTCAGTATCTCTTGACACCTTCTGAATCGGGACTTCTCAACTTTGACAGCTTGAAGAAGCATGGACTTCAATTCCTAGAATTGAAAGGAATTCTGGGAGTTGAAGTCCACTCATCTTCAAGCTTCCAAGGTTGAGAAACATTGCTTTGACTGTACATTTTAGGTTTGCTGAAAGTAAATAGTTGGTGGGTGTAGAGCCATATTCTTAACCCCAATATCTGACCGAGCAGGTGTATCTTCAAATTTAAAGTACTGCTACAATTGCATCTGCATCGGCTCCCGGCGTAAACAGTTGTAAAAGAATAATTTTACCTGTTTGTCTTCATTGCAGAGAAGACTTCCTCTTTTGGTTTTGCCGGTGCCCTGGGTGCATTTACAAGGTCCAAAATTGCCAAATGCATCCAAAAGGTCCATGCTTTGTCCCTTGAACTGTGCTTGGAATCTTTGCCAATATGCTGAAAGATGACACTCGGTGACACTAATCCAGGGGTGTCAAACTCAAGGCCCGGAGGCCAGATACGGCCCTCAGGGTGCTTAGATCTGGCCTGCGGGGCCGCCCTGGAAAGGATTTTTTTTTTAAATTTGATTTATATGCCGCCCTTCTCCGGAGACTCAGGGCGGCTTACAATGCGCTAAGCAATAGCCTTCATCCTTTTGTATATTTATACAAAGTCAGCTTATTGCCCCCACAACTGGGTCCTCAATTTACCTACCTTAGAAAGGATGGAAGGCTGAGTCAACCTTGAGCCTTGGAGAGATTCGAACCTGCAGTAATTGCAGGCAGCTGGTCTTAATAACAGGATGCTTTAGACCACTGTACTACCAAGGCTCTACCAAGGATTGGCCTGCAGTGCCTCTGCCAGCAAAAACGGAGCTCACGAGGACCATATGCAGCCCTCCCGAGCTCCGTTTTCACTGGCAGAGGGCTGCAGGAGGCCATCCCAGCCGAAAACAGAGCTTGCGAGGGCCGCGTGCAGCCCCCGAGCTCCATTTTTGCTGGCAGAAGGTTGCAGGAGGCCGTTCCAGCTGAAAACAGAGCTCAGGAGCCCGTTTTCACTGGCAGAGTGCTCAGGCCACCACAGGCACACCCCCCCCACACACTAGTGATGTCATGCTGGCCATACCCACCCTGGCCACGCCCATCCTGGCCCCCC